GAAGCTAACTATCTATTTAGAAAAGTAAAGTATCTTCTTAATTAGTAGAAAACCTCTAGATAATACTCTATAATATATAAGTAACGCGTTTACTAAAGAAATAGATTTACTAACTATCTCTTTTCTTTAATTTATAGGTCTTATATTAGATTAGAAGCTTCTAGTTTAAAAGTAAGCGCCTAACCTTATTTAAATTTATCTATATATATTAGTAACGTAGTTACTACGCGTTAGAGAAGATATATATATTACTCTTCTTCTACTTACGCTTTAAGTTAGTAGACTTATAGAGTAGAATAGAAATTAAAGCCTTTATAGTCTTCTTCTACGCCTTATCTCTTTTTCTCTTGCGTATTACTCTTATTAGAGGCGTAGCTAGTAGAGTTAATATAGAATATATAGTAGATATGTTTACATTATCTTTAGCTTTACTCTATAGTAAGATATTATACTTAGAGCTATCTACCTATAGAAGCTTATAGTCTAAGTCTAGAGAAGCGCGTTCTTAGAGTAGTAGAGGTTAGTTTAGCTAGAGTAGTACTTTATACTATATCTTAGCCTACACTTTAGCTAGTAAACGTAATAGAATTACGCTAGAAATATATTTTAGTAGGTCTTTTGTAGATACTCTAAGAGTAAAGTCTCTTAGTAAAATAATACCTCTAAAGAAGAATATTACTTCTCTTTTTTACTCTATTAATAATTACTCTATAGGTATAGACGCTACTAGGTAGTTAGAGTAGTATCTTTTAACGTAGTTTACTAGCGCACTATAGTTACTAAACTACTACTATAATATTATAAGTATATATTTTATATATAATTTTAGCGTACTTATACTATAAAGTAGCCTATTAAGCTAGTAATAGTAGGCGTAATAGAAGATCTCTCTTTAGTAGATAAAGTAATACCTACTTCTATTCTATTTACTAAATAGTAGTATCTCTTAAGAAAGAATACTAAGTTAGCTATACTATAGATAGTTATTCTAAATATAATTAGATTACGTTAGAAACGCGTTATTAGAAGACTTATATACTAATATATAGTCTTAAGTTCTATAGTAGAGTAAAGAGAGAAGGTAGAGAAAGAAAAAATAGTAGTAGGCAGGTACTTAACTCTAAAGAAAGGCAAGAGGCTAGGCTAGTAAGAGAAAATTTATTACGCCTTACTATATTAGGTAAAGATTAATATAGGCTTAGATTATATATATAACGTATTTCTATTACGTTCTACTAGCTAGTATTCTATCTATAGACTCTAGTATATATAGTAACTATACTAGATTGCAATTAGAACGCGTTTATAGCATAATTTAGCTAGAGTTGTCTCTCTAAAGCTACTACCTACGCTCTTCTAGTTCTATCTTATATTTCTCTAGTTATAGCCTTTACTTCTATAGCTCTATCTTTTTTCTCTTAATTTCTAAGAGCGCTCTTCTCTCTGTAATAGTTTAGTTACTCTTAAGTACCTACTACTTTAGAGCTTAAAAAGAGTTAGGCCTAAGAGCGTATTAGAAATATAATAAGAACATAATATAGTAGACCTACTCTAGGCTAGCTTCTAGTGCTAGAGAGAAGTAAGCTAGAAAAGAGTAGGCTAGAGAAGAGTAGGCTAGAGAAGAGCGCCTGCAGCCTTTGCCTCTTAGTTATCTACTCTATATAATAAAACTAGATAAATTAGCCTACTCTAAGATACTATTATTATTATTAATAATAATAAGGTTCTAGTACTCTAATTTCTACTCTAAACTTAATAAGACTGTGTATAAAATACGTTATACATAGTAGACTTACTCTCTTTTTCTATAGCTTTAAAGTACTTTTATATATAACTATAGTGTAATCTATTCTTATAGTAGACGCTATAGACTATTTTTGCTTTATATTTCTCTATATTCTAGAGGTCTTACTTATAGAAGCTATAATATGTTACTAGTATATTCTTAATATATTTAAATATACTTATATTAGAATAGTCTTAAGTAAAGTCTTATTAATTCTATTATAATATAACTTTATGCTAGCTTACTTAGCTATATTAGAAGTGCGCTCTAATAAGTTCTAAATATATTACTTTATATAGTTATTACACTTTATAAAACTACTTATAATAATAAAGTATATCTTATAAGCTACCTAATCTATAACTACCTTAGATTTATTCTCTACTATATTATAAGAACGTATTATATACATAATTAAAAAGAGTTTTATACCTTATAGAAGCCTAATATAGGTATAATACTTATCTAGTAATTTGTAATAAAGAAGAGCCTTTATACGCCTTTAAATAGAGTATTCTATATACTCTGCGTTAGAAACAGCGCAGTTAATACTATAGAGAAAGTAAGCTTTATATAAATAAACTATGTAGAGATAATACTATTTTTATCTATAGTTAACTTCTAAAAATTCTTAGAGAAAGAGTCTCTAGTCTATAGAATTATGTTAGTAACATATTCTTAACGCAATCTAGTAGAATATAACTAATCTTATAACTATTTATTATCTATATTAATAGTAATACTTATAATGCTGTCTCTATAAAGATAGTAGAAGCAAATTAGCTTTTCTAACGCCTCTAAACAGAGCTTAAAGAACTTAGTAAATACCTCTATATATATTTCTATAGAATTAATATCTATAATAACTTTCTTAAGAGAGATTACTATATTATATTTAGAACGTAATATAGGCGTGTTAATATACTTTTACCTATATTTTATAGTGTCTTTATTAAAGATAGTAAAGAGTAACTTAAACTACTTACTATAGATACGCTTATATAATATATCTATCTAGAACGTATTTTATTAAAGTAATAGAGAGGCTTACTTATTAAGAAAGTAGTATATAAATATACTATTATTAGTAGAGTATATTTATTAGATATACGCCTATATTATGTTAGAAACACGTTTCTAGCGCGTTACTAGCTACTTACTATAGCTAGGTCTTAATGCTTAGTTCTAAGCTTATATATAATGTCTTCTATACTAGAGCTATAGAGGTATATTATAGCTTTATAGGTTTTAAGTAAGCTTCTAATTTTATTCTTATTTACTAGTATAATATACATCTTCTTAATAGACCTAAAGCCTTTACTTTTAACCTATACCTAGACTTAGAAGAACGCTAAAGCCTTAGCTAAACGTAATTAGAATATTATTATAATATATTATAGAAGCGTAGAGAGTAGACTTACTACGTGTAAGGCCTAGAGTTAATATAGAAAGAATAACTATAAGAAGCTTAGCCTTTAGGTCTTTGCTTAGAATTAAAGAAGAAGAAGAGATATATATATACTCTCTATAACACATTATAATTATATATAGATAAGATACTAGATCTACTAGAATTATAATATAGTACTTAGCCTTATTATATACTTATTTAACTAGCTACCTATCTCTATAAAGGTAGTTGTATTCTAAAACGTATTATAAATATACGCTAAACATAATATAGTATAAAGTTACTTACTACACTTTAGAGTTCTAGTAGATATTAATACTATAGTATTATATACTCTCTTATTATTTTTCTCTACTAGAGAGCTATTATTAAACAAGTTTTTAAGGTATTCTAGGTCTATTTTAGAACTAATAGCGTAAAAGACGTGCTTCTTAGTATATCTAAGTTTATATATCTAGGCTATATACTTAATAAACTAAGGTTTATTACTAGTAAAACTCTATAACTTAGTTACTATGTATTATAAACGTATTTCTATCTATAGTGTCTCTTACTTTATATTACTATTAGAAGTACATAGGTCTATAGTTTAGTTACTAGTTACTATAAAATCTACTACTTATAAAGTATTTAAAAGTTATAGTGTAGAGCCTTTAAAGTTAGTATAAGCGTGTTAAAAATACGTTGCGTACACGTTAAACGTACCTAGCTACCTACTTCTAGTAAGTTATTCTATTATTAGGTATAATAGTATCTCTTAGGCTTCTAAGTATATTCTCTACCTTAGGTATAATTTTAGAATAATAATAAGCCTTAAGTAGCTTAGTAAGCGTAGTATAATACTTAATACCTATATAAATATACTTCTAACGTTATGTAATTATATTTAAGAAAAGTAAAAAGAATATACGCTTTTTATATTTCTAGACCTTTCTATATTAGAACTAGATTATATTAGAAATATATTAATATTACGTTCTTAGGCCTCTTATATTAATAGCTTTACCTAAGGTATCTTTCTATATTATATAAGTAGGTAGTAGATAGATAATATATACGTAGCTACCTAGTGTACTTTTAGACTATATTAGTATACTTATAATATACTTATATAATATTACTATTAGGCCTAGACCGCTATTACTACTTATAAAGAGTAGAATAGAGTTCTTCTAAATTATATTAAGAACGTAATATAAAGACGTTATAAGTAGTATATAAGTTAAATTAGCTTAAAGTTACTCTCTTTACTTAGTATATTATTAGCTATTTTAAAGTCTAAGAAGGCTATATCTAAGTTCTTAAACGCGTTCTTAAAAAGTAGTAAAGGTACTTTAAGCTACTTAGCGTTAAATACTAGTAAAGAAAGTACTAGCGCCTCTATAGTTTCTATAAAGATAAAATATAAATATATTATTAATACGTTCTAGAGCTAGATTTTAGTTTTCTTCTATATGTAGTATGCTAAGCTATATAGAGAATAATTCTATCTAATCTAACTATTACCTACGCCTTATTCTGCCCTTAATAACTCTAACTAGCTAGCAGCTATAGTTACCTATAAAAATCTAATAGTTAGATAAGGTGTAGCTACAGTTATTCTAAACTGTCGTTGATAAATTAACAACAGACACAAGCTAAATCTGAAGAGCGTCTACATCAGGTCAGGGTCTTTCACTTTCACTGTCTTTCATCTAGTTGCAAAAGTCACGCTAGTCATTTTTTTCAAATGCTGGAAACTGACATCACCCCCAACTTACTGACACGACACCCGCCGTGAGCCATTCTTTACCGCCCGCACCCATGGACTTCCGCTTCCTCGATCTACCCGCCGACATCAGGCTCATGGTTTACGAATTCCTACCGACATGCCTTACGCACAACGAGATCACCATCGAGACGGAAAATAAGAGCGGACCTCTTAAGACGAAAACCACGAAAGTCAAGCTCATTAACATTTGGTATCCTACCACCGTACGCCTTATCTCCAAGATCATCCGAGAAGAAGCTACACCGATCATTGCGCGCACTGCGGCGAAGCGCAATAGCGCACTAGTAGCCCACGGCTTTTCCAAGGTGTCGCGATCGGGCCCTAAACTCATTGTTCTATGTGGAGATCTGGAAGTCATTGCGCGCAAGCAAGGACCTCTTGAGGCAGCTTCGGAGTTTCTGACCTGGTTTTTGGAGGCGCGCAGGACAGGATCTAGCTGCATGACCACTAGGCCCGAGAGTTCAGCTTCGGATCCAAATAGCTCGGCTATAATCAACTGGGCGCGTCAAGCTGGTTGGCATTTATCTCAAATGCGACCAAGAGCCAGAGCGATTGACATTGCCATTGACGCCATGCATGTACTGTCGATGGGCCGTCAAGAAACCGTTGCTTCCTTGCTTCGATTCGAGGATGCAGCCGAGCGACCGTATCTGGCTCAACGACGCGACATCCGATTTAGAGTGTGTACAGCGCCTCTAATGTTTGCAGCTCATTCCGTGTCGCGGTATGTTCCATTGCGCGGCCCCTCTCCAGGTGGTAGATTTGGTTACTTTGTCGAGCACTTTGACCTTGAGTACGGAGAATGGATCGAAGCTTGGGTTCCGCAAGACTGCGTTTAGCAGGTCGGTATGTTTGTGCCGCGTAGTAACTTTGTGTAATGAAGCTGACACAAGGTGCAGACAAGTTACTCTGATTCGCTCCTGCGTTGTGTTATCGCCATGTTGACCGACCAGCTGGAGGGTGTAGCATGAATGCGATAAAATGTAGGGTGTCGCAGAACCTTTACTAGAGACTGTGCATGTATTAGTAGAGAGGCAGGATGCTCCGCCGCGCCGATGTGAGAGGGCAAAAGAATGAGCAGGACTTTAGATCAATGTCTTGATGAGAATGACATGTATTGTAAGCTGAGCATTTAGGAGTGACTCATGTTAGGAATGAAGAGCCAACCAACCTCAACGATGCGATGCCATTTCTCAACCATAAGTCGATTGTCATTGTAGATGACCGTGACCAGCGTAAAAAACATCTCCAACTGTGTCAACGTTGCTTCCACATTCGCCCGTGTAAACAAACCTATACCTGTTGTGGATTTCCTCATGAGGGGTATCAGCCCGTATGTAGTAATGGTAAGTGATTCTTGACAACGCGGGTACATCGAGCTGAGAAGAGTAATTCGCGTAATACTGATGATGCTCGTCAAGATGCGGACGACCATCATCCAACCATCTAGCCTGACTCGTATTCCAATTGCCGAGCTCTGGAACATTGCCAACAACAAACATCTGGATCCCTGGATCTGAGCGAACCTGGAAGTTCACACGAGCGTGACAGTAGCATTGCGACGTATCGACAGCGTTATTTAGCGGTTCGCCCCAGCTATCGCCTTTGAGACCAGCACGACGATTGATCGTCGTGTTATAGGCGGTGTTCGACCAGGCGAAACTAGAGTTCGACATAGGTGTGCCGTCGTCCCGGCTGAACTGCTCTGAAAACCCATGATCTGGAGATCCGTGATTTTGTACGATGGCTAAATAGCTGTCGGCATAGTCGCGTACGGTAGAGAGGATCGACTTGAACTCTCTGTTGGCTCGAGAGGTGTATAGATCACCACAGCCATAAGTACCGACATGGATCCCCGGTAATAGGTCTTGAAAGAAGGGTAGCGAAGTTTTATCGACAGTCAAACTTCCAAGGTCCAGCCATTGGAGTCTGGCCAGGTACAGCTGCTCCGCGGCCGCGAGTGTGGTCACATACCACGGATTACCGCCGTGATCAGAATCCTCGGGGTATCTTCCAACGGCAACTCCCTGGCCTTGTGCAATACCATTGTTGATACCGTATAGAGGGCGGAAAGAGTCGGTCACTGTTTTGTGATTGGCTAGGGCTCTGGAAGAGCATGGTTGGAAGGTACTGTTTGTGCAGCCGGCTTGAGGATCGTACGTATGAATAGAGGAGAGGATAGAGCTCGCATCTATTCCGCTTCTTTGGTCCTCGGCGTTGAGGTTTGCGTGCATATAATTATCGCCCCAGAAACTGCTCATGAAACAGAATATCTGTGGCACGGCAGAAGTGCAGCCGTCGCAGGTTCGGTTCAACGTCTCTGAGAGTGCCAGGCCTTCGACCAAAGCGCGATGTGATGCTGAGAGAGTGAAGAACGAAGAGGCATTCCTTTCTTTCCACACATCAGGACTGGTTCGATTCCAGGACCGAGTAATAATTTCTAGATCATCCGTGATGGTGGGCCATAACGTAGCTTTGACGGTCTTTTGCGCGCGTGAGTACTGTTTTGCGCCTTTTGCTTCCGCAAGTATATGTTTAGCATCGACTATAAGAGCTGTCGTACGAAGTGCGACGACATCTTGTTGAGGATCTAACGCAGCTGTTCTTGTCCATGTGTGCAAGTCTTGATAGTTAGCCTTCAGTTGACCATCGAGGGCTCAAAGCACATACGATCTGGATCCGACCGACTCGCAAGCATCATGCCACTCGGGGCTCCCCAAGAGCCGTCAACGTTGCTCAGCATCCCATTCATGGAAACAATTTGCTGAGATTTGATAGAGTCATCAAGTGAACCTTCCCGCTGCTTCTGATCGATCGAATTGGTATTTGCATTGACGAGGAGCGACGTGGCCGAAAGCACACGAAGCAGGAAAGCGGCCTTCATGTTGAGTGCTGCAGTAGTAACAATACCGCGGAGAAGAATGGTTCGTGCTGATAGTCTCGTAATAATCCAGATGCGTTATCGATGGCGGCGGTGAGATGGCTGGATGGAATGTTCGGCGCGATGCGTCAACAAACAAGTCCGGGCTGCAGACGACATCCACGCTCTCTGCGACAGCCTCTGGATCGTTCATGCTTGCCATGTCAGCCGTCGCTGTAGGCAAGAGCTGGGGAGTATGAGCGAGCGCTGCCATCGCGCCTCATATCCGTGGAAGCCGCATTGGGACGCGACCAACGCGGGATTGAGCGTGCCAGGGTCGAAGACATTACTGCTGTAATGCGAAATGCCTTCGCCTTCATTTGAGACTCAGCGATGAGCAAGGAAGGAGCCATAGTGTGTGGAGATGAATGGTGCCGGGGGTGAAAGACGCGAAGGTTCGGGTCCAAGGTAGCTCGTGTCTTCCCTCCGACCAATGACGTCAGGTCGTGGCGTTGAATCGCCTGTGTCGCGCGTGCCTTACTATCACATGCAACCTCCCCTACACTTTCACCAGCTATGCGACTGCGCAATTCGACGTTGACACTCTTCCGCTCTCGAACATCGACAACTCTCGTCTCAGACGATATATGCAGCCATGGAGACGTGTCGATCGTCCAGCACGACACTCAACCTCTGCTTGACCTTGTGTCATTGGCGAGGCTGCCCATCAACCAGCACTTCAACTTCTATCAGCAGCATCGGAGTGAGACCGATGCGCAAATCATTCGTGTATATTTACATTACTTTGACCACCACGTTCTGGTTACAGCAAAGCCCTTTACCACACTAGGTGTGACTACACATCTACAGAGATATCATCAAGGCAGGAGTATGCAACATTTTAGAATCTACTTACGCAGTTCTGAAAGCGCGTATGCGACACAAATTCTAGTCATGTCTCGTAACTCCGCGTTCGGAGAGCAAAGCTATAGTTTGGAACACACGTGGGTAACCAGAATCCACTCCTCGACCCTGAAACCAACACTGTGGAACGAAAATGCCTCTGCTCGCTTGTACCGGTGAAAGAAGATTTCATCTCACTGTCTCACTATCACAAACTCCTAATGGGACAGATAATCACCTACTTCAGACTAGACTACAGAGTCACACCAGGGCAATATCAGCTACCACACCAATAAATCCTACAGCCCGCGCATCCCGGCACAACCATGGGCCCAACAGAACCACCTCCCTCGATCCCCTCGCCAGGAAAACCCACATCCTCACCCCCGCCCACGTCTATACCGCCAAAGCCGTTCCCCCTCCTCTCCCTCCCCAAAGAACTCCGGCAAAAGATATTCACGCACCTCGTCCCCAAAACCCAACACCACACCATCCCCCTCAAATCCGGGCCACACCACCTCACCCTAGTAACAACAACAATCCCAGGCATCTCCCTCCTCGCCACAAACCACCAAATCCGTACCGAAGCATCCTACATCCTCTCCCCCTACCTCTCCTCCATAAAAAGCTCCGCCCCCACAATAATAATCCATGCAGAACATATGCTGGGGGTGATAAACCTACACGACTCCTTCCGTTTCCAACCCACATTCTGGACCTTCCTCTTCCACCGCATAGAACCGCGAAGACGAGACTTCACAATCCGTTCTATCCGGCGTTACCGAGAGGGCGGAATCACGTCCGAGCAGCTGTCCAAGAGGCTCAAGATGTGGACGCTCACCACCTCCCCAGATCCAGATGTGGGCATCTTAGAAGCAGTAACAACATTCATCCTCCGAATCCTTTCCTACCTCCCCACCGCAACACCCCCACCAACCCTCCACACCTACCCCCCTTTAAACGTAACAATCGACATACCCACCTCCTTCACCGGCAGCCCCATCACAGCAACCACATCCCTCCCCCGCAGTATCGCGTATCGGATATTCTTCCCTGCGCATCCTTATCTGGCTCGCTTGCGGCCTGGGCATACCAACTTGTCTTGGTTACTGCAACGCATGGTGTATCATGCGTGCTGGGCGTTTACATGCCGCCGCGCGACGACGGTGTGCTTGAGTATTAAAGTGAGGTTTTTGGACGGGGAGGGTGGGGTGTTAAGGGGCTGGGCTGGGGGGCTGGAGGGGTGGGGTATGAGGGAGGTTGTTGTGCATAAGAGTGTGATTAAGGGGGTGAAGAGTGCGGGGATGAGGGGGAGGGGGGTTGTTTATTTTGGGGGGTTGGGGGTGGGGGATTTGGTTTGAGGACTGTGATGACTGAATTATGTTCGGAGTGATGGTTCTAAAGGGGATCCAAACTTGCATAATTAGGACGGGTATACGGACAGCCCAATCTACGTACGATTATTGCAATCTCAATCATAGTACAAAACCGCCGGTTGTTACTACCTTCCAGCTGCGCACGGGGTGCGTATCTTCCAATTCTACACACCACCAGAGCACCTCTTTTGTCTTGTCGATTTGCCCACTCTCTTCGTAGGCTCTCGCCATCGCATACCATGCTTCGGAGTAGTCCCAACCAGCACCAAGCTTGGTAAGTGTGGAGAGTAGCCCGAATGCGCGGTCACGGGCCGCGAGACGGGTGAGCGTGGGTGACGAGAGCTGGTTCTCTACCGACGGCGTGTGAGAGGTTAGGTATTGTGTCTTCGATGTCGACGTCTTTGTATGAATTGAAGAGGCCGATGACTGTAGCGGAGGGGAGATAGTATCGGTGTTGGCAGGCTCCAGCGGTATGACCTCGCTGTAGATATCCAAAAGGATGTTTGAAAGACCGACGATGGCTTCAAGGTGGTCTGGGAAATGTTGTAGCGCGCGCTCAAAGTCTGCGCGAGCTTCATGCTTCATCGATTGGGCTACAAGCTGTTCTGCGCGCTGTAGCAATGTCAGTAGAGGTAATATCGAAGATGATGGGAGACTTACAGCAGCGAACACATCCGCCCATAGCTCCTCCACACTCTTACCGCCGCCCCACCCTTTGTCAGCGAGCGCCTTGGCTGTTGAGTGTTCCAATGACACCTCTGCTTCAAATGTTTCGACCAGCTTCAATGCCTCGGCAACAGCCTCCCTAGCATCCTGGAACATATGCGCTCTT